CCCAGCCTGAGCTTCGTTAGCACCCAACCCTTCCATGTGCTGGTGAGGCTTTTCTAGCTTTATTTATCTCACATCACCGATACTGCTGTGTTTGATTATGGACCACTGGCCTAGACCCGCACAGTATCCATGCTGTCTTGCCTTTGAAAATGCAAAACATGAATTTTATGTAGCATTAAATCCTAACTATGGCAGTTGTGTTTTACTGAGTATAAAATCATGAACTCTACGAGTTTTTCTTGATCTGCTGTCCTCAGAACCATTTAAAAATGTCTCTTCTGTGGCACCAGTCACAACATATTGTACTTGATTGTTTTCCAAACTTGTTTTACTTATATTTGATAGTTAGCATTGCTTTTAGTAAATACTCACGTAACCTTTTGAATGAAGGAAGAAAACTGAGAACCATCTAGTCCCTCCACACAAATATTGCTGTATGTGAACCAGCTCTTTTCCTGTGGAATTTCATCCCACTGCCTGCTTTCATGGTTATACTGCGCCTATTTCTGTGTCTGAACTTACAATGAGATGCTTAAGCCCTTCAGCCACTGAGCTCCGCTCTGCGACACTATTACCGTTCTCTTCCCGATGACCACTCAGACAGAGGCCCCGCTTCACACCGGTGGCTGTGATGCATACTGGACAAGGTTTTATAGAATATTTTTAAAACTCAGCTGCCTGTGCTTGGATGTATTGTATACTTCTACACGCCCTAACGTAATTATAGATCAGGTGAAGCTCCCACGAATAAGCTCATTTCCATTCAAAGTTATTGTCTGTTGATACAGTTCTAGAGTAATTAAGAATTTTCTTAGTTGCTAAAGTTTTTTAATTATTCATTAAAAATATAAAATAATTTCAAATTTAATTGCTGTTTCATGTTATTATTTTCTTTTATATTAGTAGTAGGAAATTAAATGCCCGGGCTGGTTTGGCTCAGTGGATGAAGCATAGGCCTGGGGACTGAGGGTCCCAGGTTCGGTTCTACTCGAGGGTACATGCCCAGGTTGTGGGCTCGGTCCCCAGTAGGGGACATGCAGGAGGTGGCCGATCGGTGATTCTCTCTTATCACTGATGTTTCTGGCTTTCTCTCCCTCTCTCCTCCTCTCTGAAATCAATAAAAAAATATTTTTTTAAAAAAATAGGAAAATTTCTTTGTCATAGCATTGTAAGTAACTTGAACAATGGTGACATTTACACTAAATTGGTATAGTTGGGTCTTTGTCCCCAATAATTTTAATAATACTTTACTTTGTGGTTGTTATTTCATCCCCCCTGATCCGTTAAAAACTGTCCATCCGGTAGGGCTCTTTCCCCTCCCACCCCCACCATCTCTGTTCTCCTTAACACAGCTCCAGGTTTGGCACAGCAGTTTTTCAAAGTGAAGTGGGAGAAGACAGCACCTTCTCTGTCAGCTCCCTCAGAATATTCATATTCATCCTCCTTCCTCCCCACCCATAGTCATGTCTGTCCGTCACCAGAATACATGAGAACTTGGAGCTTTAAAATTAAACATACAATTAATATTTTAAAGGCAGATTGTAATAATTGAGGCAAATGATTGTGGGCACGTGGCGTGTATTTTTATGCACTTTAACACTGTTGGTTCTGCCTCATGGGTTAGAGAGGCAAATACTTGGCTCATGTGAGTGGAGGCCTTCCATAGCTGTTGGTCAAGATTCTTTCCTATTTTGGAGGACCAAATATTTCCGTTAGATTGGTTGACGAGATTGGCATTGAATTGCTAAGGGACCCATAACATCCCTTTATAGCAGTTTAATGACTCAATTCCCAGTTCTCTACTTTTACTGACTCGTGACTTTAGGAAATTTTTATAAATAAAAAGTGGAAGGACATTAACAGATAATAGAAGTTTAAAATAAACAGAACTCTTTTTCTGAAACAGAACTCTTAAGGTGCATAAAAATGTAGATAAACAAGTAATCCATTTTGACCGAAGTATCCTATATAATAAAAGCCTAATATGCAAGTTGACCAAATTGGCGGAATGACAGGTCGCTATGACACACACTGACCACCAGGGAGCAGATGCTCAATGAGGAGCCGCCCTGGTGGTCAGTGCGCTCCCCCAGGGGGATCGCCGCTCAGCCAGAAGCCGGACTCAGGGCTGCGAGCGCAGCAGTGGTGGTGGGGCCTCTCCCACCTCCATGCAGCACTGGGAGCAGGCCAAGCTGTCAGTCAGACATCCCCTGTGGGCTCCTGACTGAGGGACCCCCCAAGTACACGCATTTTGAGCACCAGGCCTCTAGTATAATACAGCAATATAATGACAATGCTGGAAACCTAGAAACTTTTTAAAAAATATATATTTTATTGATTTTGTACAGAGAGGAAGAGAGGGATCGAGAGTTAGAAACATCGATGAGAGAGAGTCATCGATCAGCTGCCTCTTGCACACCCCCTACTGGGGATGTGCCCGCAACCAAGGCACATGCCCTTGACCGGAATCGAACCTGGGACCTTTTAGTCCCTAAGCCGACGCTCTATCCATTGAGCCAAACCGGTTTCAGCCTGGAGACCTAGAAACTTTTGAGGTAGTAATAATAGTATATCAGTGGTTCAGAGATGTTTTCTTGAAGTTGTAAAGCCTGAAATTTAGGAAGTAAGTTAATATATTTTTAAGGATTAGTTGAAGGTTTAGTATATCTATGAATAAGGACAGCAGGGGACTTTGACCCTCTGATTAATACTGTGGCCTTTCTGGGCTCAGCAGGGCGGTGCGATGAGTACGCCCCCTCGCTGGCTGTGCGGCCACTGCTGGGCACTCCATGGGGACCTTGAAAAAGCGATTCTGTGGATAAACCTGAGGTTTGCTGCCGCCTACAGCAGCCATCCAGCTTTGTTATGGTGGTTCTGATGTGTTTTTCCCCCTGAAAGGGAACTAGGGAAACGTGGCTAATAAAATCAGCCATTAAATTTCATTTTGTTTTTGATGGAAATATTTCCTCCTATAAAATGTAATGACCGTGGCTGATTGCAGAGGTTATTTACCAGACTGTCCCCGAGAGGCAGTTAGAGCAGGTCCATTGGAATCAAAAGGCATTTGTGGAACATACTGGAAAAGGACCGTGAGAGCAAGGTCAGGTCTGGTCTGCTGTTTTGATATTTCAGCCGTGTTTATGACTGATTTAAGGTTCGAAGGTGGAACTCCTTGATTGTGAGGTTTGTAGTAACCAGGAGGCAGACGAGGTCTGACTTCCCCAAATAGGGTCCTCGGATCTCATAGCGTTACAGTGAGGTATTGGAATGCTTTTATCCGAATACGGACAACTAGGCAATTTAAAACCTTGTCTTAGCACCTTATTCACGTGAAATTCACGAGTGCATGTTTTCTGTACGAACAGATTTATTTAAGAAATACTTACTGACCACCTGCTGCTCAGCAGGCAGTGTGGATCCTGGAAATCCATCACTTCAAGCTGAAGAGGCTCCTCCGCTCCACAGGGCCGCGCGGACCTCACCCCCTGGAGGCGGGAGCGGTGTGCCTTCCCGTCTGAGGGCGGACACCGGGTGTGGGGGCTCACATGGGAGACTCATGGCTGGGGGAAGCGGGGCCCTGTGGTTGGGGTCCTGTGCTCTCACGCTCAGACGGGCCGTGGTTTCCCAGCTCGCTCCGGTGTCCATTCCTGAGCAGATTCCGTGTGCCGGTGGGCACGCTCTGTGCCCCGGCCAGACCGGCCGTGGCGGCTGCTCGGTGCGCTCGTGCTCCTGTGGCGAGCCCATTTGGCATCGGTACTTGTCGGCTGCAGCTGCTGTCCTCGGGTTACTTTAAATCCTAGCAGTTCCTTTAGAAAGTGCTGTACATGGAATTATTTTTAAAAGATACCCGGCGTCTCTTGAAGGTTAGATTATATGCACCAAGTGGCTTGACTCTAATCCTTTCTAGGATTAGAGTCAAGCCACTTGGTGCATATAATCTGTGTGTGTAAAACTGCGGATTATGCTGACATGGAACTTCTCAATAGGACTCCTGTGTTCACGAAGAGTTGTTTTTCGTGTTCACAAGCCCATCGCCGTTAGTTCGGGGGAGGGGAGGAGGCAGGGGCACCCTTTCTAACCAGGAAAGGTCGCGGCTATCGAATGTCTTTATTGCAGAGGGCATTAGGGGCCCTATTCTTTGGTATAACTCTTCCTCCCACCTTCCTTCTCCACACGGTTTAAGCTATGATTTCTGTGTAGCTGATTCCTGCCAGAGTTCCATGTACCAGGCAGTGTCCTCCTTCATGGAAACCGCCAGAGGGGATTTCAGCTCCCAGCTCCCTGCCGGCCAGTGTCCTCTGGGGCAGCCTCCCCTGGGAGGGGGCGTCTGCGTCAGAGCCCGAAAGTCAAAAGCCACCAGCAGTTTGTGGGTCACAGGCTGAATGCCACTCACTCAGACTCATTATTGGGTGTAAACTCTGTCCAGTCCTGTGTTCCTCAGTCTGTCGCTGAGACTGACTCAGGGATCCTGGCATTGCAATTCAGGTCAATTCTGAAGAACTTTCTGCACAGAATTTTAACTTTAATGAATTAGGTGAAGTGGACCATATAAGAGCAGGTATAATTATCAAATAATTAGTTGAAACCCCTGGGGAAAAAGGGTAATTTTCAGTTTCGACTTTTTTTTTTTTTTTCGTGAGTGGCAAACTTAAAAAATCTGGTATGCCCAAAGTACTCCTATAGGTCCCAGTATTGTCTTGAATGCACGAGGTGATAAGTGAATGGATGACTTTTATTATAAGTGCCTGAGTTACTTATATTCCCATAGTTCTGATGGAAGAATATTCATTACCATCTCTGTATCCCAGCCTAAGTAAGCTTTCCCCTCTACAAGCCTAGATGCTTCCTACTTTTAGTCTCTCCCCTGTGTGCGTGTTGACTGTGCGTGTTGCAGTTGCTTTCGGTGCTTCTGTCCAGCCAGGGGTGGGCGTTAGGTTTGCGGACACCGGCTGTAGAAGCGCGGACTCGCGGGCTCATTGCTGACCGTCTGCTGTCGGCAGGTGCTGGGCCCCGCTCCCAGGTGGTGCTCCTTCCTGGACAACCTGACGGAGGAATTGGAAGAGAACCCAGAAAGCACAGTTTACGACGATTACAAGTTCGTCACCAGGAAAGACCTGGAGAATTTGGGTAAGAGAGGAAATTAGGATAAACCGGTTACAGATTACGTTATTTCTGCTTGTTTCGGGGAGGGGAATTTTGAACATTTTAGAAGTGGTGGCATCGTTTATCTGATTTTCCAAATCTTCTCTTTCTGCCAAGTCAGGTGTTAAACACATATTGTTGAATTTGTAATGTGTGCTGAGAGAAAGGTTCAGATAAGTTCAACCTACTGAAGCTTTTTTGCATCTTAAATAAGGAATCCCCTTTTTTTTTTTTTTTTTTTTTTTTTTAGCATACTACTTGTATATAGAAAATACATCTGTCAAGAAGGCAGTGATTGTCCTGGCCAATTTGGCTCAGTGGTTAGAGCATTGGCCTGTGGACTCAATGGTCATGGGTTTGATTCTTGGTCAAGGGCACAAACCGGTATTGCAGGTTGATCCCCAGCTCCAGTCAGGGCACAGGCCGGAGGCAACCAATCGATATGTCTCTCTCTCTCTCTCTCTCTCTCTCTCTCTCCCCCCCCCCCCCCCACCTCTGCTATGACTTGGCCTGCGGACTTCATATGCGTTGGTTTCATCACCTGTAAAGTGGCCATAATAATGGTGCCTCCTTCGGCTACTAGGTGACTGAGGCGGACAGTACGCAGCAGTGTCTAAACCTCCCAAGTGGATGTCAGTCATTGTTGTCAGAGCTTCCTAAGGGCCTGCCTCTCTGGTCACTCCCCAGGGCTCACGCATCTCATCGGGTCCCCTTTCCTCCGAGCATACATGCATGGGTTCTTCATGGACATCAGACTCTATCACAAGGTAAGCACAGAAGTGCAGTTACTTCAGGGACTAGTGAGCAATCTATAGACACTTCTTCTCTACTGATTTGCATTTTCATAAAACATAATCATGATTTAAGAGATCTGTCTGTTCTCTGATATAATAGTTATGGTAAATATGAAATGTGTTGCTAAATACAATTTTTAATTTTTAATTTTTTTTTTTACTTTGAAAAGGTGAAATTGATGGTAAATCCATTCGCTTATGAAGAATATAGGAAAGATAAGATCCGACAGAAGATAGAAGAAACACGGGCACAGAGAGTCCAATTAAAGGTAAATATTGTACTCACCGTTGAATTTGCCAGAGAAAACGTACTTAATCTTCATGTTATTGTTCCAAAGAAGCTTGTCATCCACTTCTGAGTTTCTCCATCTTTTGCTAATTTTTTGGGTGTTACATTTTATCTATCACGAGGGTTTTGTCATTCTGGACTCTGTGGCAGTGGTATCGTGGGGACTGGCGTTGTCAGCCCTAAGAGAGTCGGCGGTGTTTGCCAATGGCCGCTCGGGTTCTGGGTGCTGGGCCTTTGCTCACCTCCACTGCTCACTGAGCCTCAGGCTGGCTGTTTGGTCACCGGAAGTAGGCATTAGACCATGGCGGAGCCCAGAGAGCATTCAGACCACTCTAGCATAGAGAGAACTGACTGTCAAGAATGGCAGTAGAGGACCGAAAAGACAAGGACACGAAGACACAAGGACTGGGAAGAGAGGCTGGGCTGCAGGAAGAGTTGCCATGGAGCTCAGCTCAGGGCTGGGCAGCGGACTCTGAGGGCAGCTGCTGGGCTGAGGGCCTCTGGGAGGACCAGGATGCTCCTGGGACCACTACCTCCTGAACCACCTGGTGCTGCCAGGCTGAAAAGTGTCCTCGTGCGATGCCAACCCAGCAACAAGCAGATGGGGACCAGCAAGCCCCCCTCTTGCCTCCCAGGCACCTAGCTGCCCCCTCATGAAGGCACTCCCACGTTCAGCCACTGCTGATGAAACGCTCCTTAACAATGACACACACTCCTCAGAGCAGGAGATGCTCTTCCCCTCTCCAGGTGCTTGTTCAGTGTCGTTAGAGAGAAGAGTGAGTGTTAGAGAGAGAAGAGTGAGTGTTAGAGAGAGAAGAGTGAGCGCGCAGCGCAAGGAGAGGCTGGGGTGGCGGGTGCTTTTGTTCCGCTTTGCTAAACCTTCGGCACTGAGACGTAGGTGTTTTAACACAGCTGGTCTTTTCCTCCGTAGAAATTGCCGAAAGTTAACAAAGAGCTGGCGCTGAAGTTAATCGAGGAGCAGGAGGAGGAGCAAAGAGCTACATGGAAAAAGAAAGTGAAGGTGAGCTTTTCTACGGCGGAGACCATATTGACGAGTTGCTCCTACATTTTTTTATAGTAACTTAGAGTTTTTTTATTTTTACTTTAAAAACACACTTGTTTTTCCCCCGACTTGGAAGATAGTATATACTCAGTATGGGACATTTGTAAAACAGAAAAGAATATAACTCTCCCTGGAGGAAAACAGCATTCATATTTTAGTGAATTTCTTTCCTGTCTTATTTCTCCTAAAATTATAAACTATACTAGCAAGACTCTATTGTATATATAAAATATTTATCCTGGTTTCATAAAATAACACAAGTAGCTTTCCATTTTATTAAAATTTCTTGGTAAATATTTTTGAGAGCTTTATATTCTATGTTGTGGATGAATTATGAGATATATTTTATTTCAGAGGGAGGGATAGAAACATCAGTGATGAGAGAGAACCATTGATCGGCTGCTTCCCATCCGCCCCACACTGGGGATCAAGCCTGCAACCTGGGCCTGTGCCCTGACCAGCAATCAAACCATGACCTCCTGGTTCATTGGTCGACACTCAACCACTGAGCCATGCCAGCTGGGTTATAATTTGTTAAATGTTTTTTTTGCTCTAGCTAGATTTATTTATAATTGCAGAAGTAACCAATTTTTACTTAGAATTGGCATATTGGGAGTGTGCATGCTTAACCTTTAACTGTGCCTTACTGTGCTGATGGGAAAATAGACAAAGATCAGTCATAACATTGGGTGCTTTCTGTAACCAATATTATCAGAGGGGGCTGGGGGCGGGCTGACTGCAGCTGTGTGAAGACTTCCTCCCCGTGCTCTCTCCTCCGCTCAGCCAGGCGGGGAGCGAGGAGGCCGCTTCCGTCTCAGGGCTGCGGACCTGAGGCTGAGCCAGTGGCCTGGTCCTTGCAGCTTCGGGCAGCTGGCTGAGCACTCAGGTTTTTGTTGGCTTTATTCTTTCTCTGTGCTCTCTCTAGTTCTTCACTAGTAAGTGCTAGGAAGCAAAAGTCATGACTGCCTGTGCTTTTAAATTTTTTTTGGTCAAAATATGAATCGGATCATCCCATAAGCAGCACTGGGCTATGACTGTTTTCTCCTGCAAGTGTGAGGAGGGACTTAGAACCCTCACCTCCACCAGCCAGCTGCTTCCCCCCAGCCGCTGGACCTGGAACCGGCTCTGACTGTCCCCTGGGTGGGTTGCGCTAGGAAGCGCTGTTTGTCAGATGCGCCCCTCGTTTGCTTTTTTGGTGGCTGTGGACCCAAATCAGGCCCTGTTGTCAGCCCTCAGTGTCTGCAGAAATGCTTGGAGTCTTCTAAAAACCCCAGGCTGCTATTAAAGTTCGTATGATTTGTTGTTTATTAATGTTATCTAATTAAAATGGAGACTTTAAAAACCATCCCGGAACCAAAGAAAGAATCCTTCATTATAATTGTAAAAAATACTTGAAAGAATTGTTAAATCCATCAGCAGTTCATTAGTCTTGCCTTTGAACTCGCTCTTCAAACTCTCACGAGCTGTAGCAGCGCTGATAATTCCTGATCTGAAAGTGAGGTGCAGCTAGGTTCCGCTTTGGCTCCAGCTGGGCCCGCGTGGAGTCAGACAGTGAGCTATGTCCCAGAAGTTGCTGCTGCTAATAACATAAAGTCTGGCGAGGTGTTTACCATCCTGATGTGGGACCTGCCGCCGAAGGTGACCCACCACGTAGCGTCTCCTGGGCCCTGTCCAGGCCCTGAGCTGTGCTGTGTTCCTTCCATCGAAAACAGCTCCTCTGTCCTTGCAGCACGGTGTCCGAGCTCCCCGCGCAGGCGCTGGCCAGGCTGGCACCAGGACCAGTTTGCTGTGTGCGGGTTTGCTGGTGAGGAGTATCGTTTTCTGCCTCAGGGCCTCTGCTGCTAGCCTTTTGCCGCGGCCTTTAGGTCTCTAGGAACATGCTTCCCTGGGACCTGCAGCAGCTCAGTCAGCATTGCCGGCAAGACCCCTCCGGGCCCGTGTCCCTGTGGCCTGGAGATAGGCAGGAGGCGTCCCTCCAGCCTCGGGGCCATTCTGCACCATTGAGGGTTTGTGTTAAAGGAACAATTCAGGGGACTGGTATAACCGTGCATAGACACTGCGTTGCATCAGATCTATTCCAACACCCAAAGTATTATTTAAAAATCTTTTTAGTACCCATTAAAAATTGTTGTTATAATAGAAGTACACACATAGTTTAAAAACCTAACATTTCTCCAAAGTTCGTTAAGAATGTTGACCACCCTCTGTCCTTTCCTCCCCCCCCCCCCCCCCCATTTCCACTTCTGCTGAGGGTCACAGCCCTTCATAGCTGATTGTTTTGGTATAAAACTCTGTGCCTCCCAATAGTGCTGCTGCTTGAGTGTTAAGAGCCAGGCCTTGTTTCCTCACTGCCTCCCCCTAGCACCCTCGGCAGCGGGTAAGTTGGGGCTCAGCATTTTGTGGCTGTGGCTGTGCAGATGTTATGTTCTTCACCTTCGGTGGGAGTGCCTTCCTGATCGCACTTCCTGCCCGCCCTCTCCCCTGGGCTTGATAACGGCCTTCTTGTTTGTTTCCTCTGTTGTCATCACTACTCAGCCTCAGTTCTTTGCCCGCTGTCTCAGTTGCATCCCAAGAAACGTATGAAGGTTAGTAGTTAGATTAACTTCATTTTCCTGACCAGCCTCTTCTCCATCTTCCTGCCGGCTCCATCCCCCGGGCATCTGGAGTCCTGCTCCACAGCCATCCCCCTGGGGACCCGCTCCTGCTCCCCACTCCCCCTCCCTTCTCCCCCTCCCCGCTCCCCGCGGTGGACGCAGACGGGACCGTAGGTTCCTGAGCGACATGGCTTCCGGCCAGACGTGCGTCAGGGGTTGGGAGGGTGAAGACATGTCACACCTGCAGGTGCCGGACAACAACAAACGGCCCTCGCTGCTGCTTTTCCTCAGGAAGTTCCTTAGGATTTCTCCTCAAACAGAGCAGGAAGGAGCAGGGAAGCCCGGGGCTGGCTCTGTGCCACACGAACGACAGGGCGGCTGCTTGGTGGCCTTTCAGTCCTGACACTTGGGTTCTTCCACTGGGAGGTTCCCCTGGGGAAAACGGAAGGGTTCTCTCCGCCGTGGCCGTGGCCGTGTGTCCATACTGGGGAGAAGGATACAGAGCGGAACGAGGCGTCCAGCGGCGGCAGGCCCGCAGGCGCTGTGGGGCCTGGCCACGCTGCCTCATGGGGAAGCTCAGAGACCTGTGCAGACACTTTGCTTAATTAAGGCCTTTCTCTTGGTGGTCAGATTCTCCTGTTGGAGAACGACAGCTCACTGCCAGCCTTCTGAGAGTGAGCGCTAGGCTCCAGAGGGCTGAGGGTTGCGGGTGCGGGGTGCAGGATGAGGGTGCGGGGTGGGTGGCATCCCCTCCGTGCCAACCACCTCCCCTGCCTCCGAAGTCCCGGCTGGAGAGCCGGTCCTAGGCCTTCCTCTCTTCTTCCAGAGTCTCCCTGCTCGTTCCCTTTATGGCCTCCGCACCTGAAGGCTTAGTGAAGCCCCTTCCCACGTTCTCAGCGGGTGGGTTCTGCAGAGACGATGCTTCCGCTGAAACCGTCGTTTCTCAGAATTCTGCATCACCTAATTTCCCGGCCGCCATAGCATGGGAGTAATTAATCTGTTTAAATGTCAAACATTCCTCAGATGTGTTCCTGTGCTGGGAAAAACATTAATGAGCACCTACTCAGATCTGCAGATCTCCGTCTTTGAGGTCGGCTTAGATATAAACAATACTTACAGATGTTTTCCAAGGTGAATGGCAGTGTTTGGTGTCTTACATGAGCGTTTATAGGCGGATCACTAGCCAGACACTTGTAAACTCCTGTAGAACATCACTCCGGCACCGCATCCTGTGAACACAATTAGGCGCGGGAAAGGCTCTGGGAAAGCAATTCCCCAGCTGGGTCGGAAGAGTGTTCATTTTATAGTTGTTCCTCCAGCTCCTGCTTGTTTTAGGCATTTTATTTGTTTTAGAGAAGAGAAAACCATGAGTCTATCACCTTAAACCCGTTTCTGTGTTCTAGAAGGGACGGGAATAGCCCTGTTTGTTTCCCAGGAGCTCAGCTGGAGCAGTGACTGGCACACACCTGTGCCCCCACCCCCCTGCCACCCCCTACCCCCCCTAACCACTACCCCTCCCTCCCCCGGGTCATTCTTGACTGCTGCACTTGTGCTTCCTCTCTGGTTTTGGAATGAAGTTGAAAGACTCGCTGATTTAACTTTTCTTTTTTCTTTTTTCTTTCCTTTTTCTTCACTATTTTTAATTCAGGATAGTAGCTATACTTAAGCAAAGTTTCAAAAACATATATTTTCTTGAAGATGTTACGGAAGAAAATTCTTTCTGATGTATTAAGCATAAACTTAGTCAGAAAGGCTTGTTCCTAGCTCACATGTGTGATGCCAACTAAGGCTGCCAGCTATGAATCAGTTTTGGAAACTAATTCTGAAAAATGGCACAATGATTTGCTGAGTTATGCCTCAGGCAGCTTATCAGTTTATATCGATAGTTAAGTGAAACGTGTTAAAGCCATCTTTCTGGTCAGACTATTCAGGTATTAACTTTAAATGTTTATGTTCTTTTCACAGAACCTTCCTAACATTCTCACCGACGATCGGTTCAAAGTTATGTTCGAGAACCCTGACTTCCAAGTAGACGAAGAGAGTGAGGAATTCAGGCTTTTGAACCCACTGGTTTCAAAAATTAGTGAAAAGAGGAAGAAGAAACTGAGACTCTTAGAGCAACAAGAAGCTCCCGAAAAGGTTGTGTCGTGTTTCCTGTGTTGCCATGCTGCTGTCGTGTGACGTCTCTATGCTCCGCGGGGCTGGCTGAGAGTGTGTGTGTGTGTGTGTGTGTGTGTGTGTGTGTGTGTGGCCTGCGGCTCCGGTGTGCACGTGGCCGTTCCGGGCACTTTCCCGATGCGGGCGCTGTCACGTACTCCGAGGGGCCAGTGCTATTTAAAAGCAAGACCGGGCCGGGTTTGGCTGGGACAGGGGCTGCTGCTGACTATTTTTACTTTCAGGAAGAGGAGGAAGAGCCGGAAGGAAGGCCCAGCGATGCGGAAAGCTCTGAGAGCTCCGATGATGAGAAGGGCTGGGTCGACGAGGTCAGGAAGCAGCGGCGGCTGCTGCAGCAGGAGGAGAGGGCGAGGCGGCAGGAGCGGCTCAGGGAGGACCAGCAGACGGTCCTCAGGCCCCAGTTCTATGAGATCAAAGCCGGCGAGGAGTTCAGGAGCTTCAAGGACTCCGCCACCAGGCAGAGGCTGAGGAAGTGAGTGCACGCTCTGCGCCGGCTGCAGGGCCTTGCTTTCCCTGGGCACGTGCCCCCAGCGTGGCCCCCAGGCTTTGGTTACGGGAGGGGAGCGCCGCGGGCCTCGGGAGCCCCGGTCCCATGATGATTCTCTCTCAGCCGCCTGAGGGGCAGTGTGCAGGCAGTGAGAGGTGGGCCTCGCAGCAGGGAAACGTGTGCTTGGACGTGCTTATGCTGCCAACCACGCTCCTGGGGCCCTTGTTCTCCCCCAGGCCCCCGATCAGTCTTCTGTACAGTGACCATGGAGGGGACATTCCTTGCCTCTTAACTACAGGTTATTGTGAAAACTTAGGATTTCAGTGAGGCTTACCCCTGTAGGCTGCGTAAGTTGTGTCAAAGCCCCTGTCACATGGAATTCGACACCTCAGTCACCGATGCGGAGAAATCTCTGAGATTCCCGGGAGCCACTGTGTGCCCAGCACTGGGAGCCAGGGAAGGTGTGCCAGCTAAGTGAGGACCAGAACTATCCCACTCCACCCCAGGATGTACGTGCCGCGGAGTGAAAGCAGCACATGCTTGTTGTAGGAATCTTCACAGACTTGCCCACGCTGATAGCTGAGGAGTCAGCGTCCGTGAGGTGGGGGCTCTGACACAACCTCTGCCAGCTGAGAGCGTGGAGAGAGTTCCCAGTGACTCACAGCACCTGTGCGTGTCTGTCATAGGGTTCCTGCACGGTATCTAAAACAAGCACTTACACTTTACAATACTTACTATTCACTGCTCATCTGTGGATCCGTTTCTCCGTTCCCTGTGATGTAACTACAGAGGGTGATGCTTTTATTCTGAGTTAATTTCGCCTTTCTAAATGCCTTTGTGCCTATCTCCCATTCCTCCAGTCCATTCTCATGCACAGTGATTTAAAATCTGTCAGTTGAGCATTATTGTTAATCACAGTTTTAATCAAAGAAATAGTGCGTGTGTGCCTAAAGCCTCCAACGAGTAAGTCGTCCCGCTGTCCTGGGCTCTGATCAATATCTCATTCGGTTTTCCTTTGTAATTCGTGCCCACATTTCTCCTTTAATGCAGCCTCTGATAATTTAGTTCCTCCCCGTGCCTGCCCCGTCCTGCCCTGAGTAGCTCTTCTCACTTTCAGCCTTCTGAAGCCCATCTCTGTCTTCTTGGCAGGCCCCACACATTAGGGGGGTGACTGTCTATCTGTGACAGTGAGATTTCCCCCTGAAATTCTATCAGCTCCAGGGGAGCCCGCGGCCAGCAGACTGAAGCCTGGGTGGGAGGGCAGCAGCGCCGGGGGGCGGGGGGGGGGGGGTGGGGGGGGACACACAAGCGGGAGGCGCGCCATTCAGTCCCAGTAGCCGCTTTCCGGGTCTGTCTGCTTCCCGTCGTCTCTGAGCTCACGGAGGCAGCAGCAGGCTGCTCGCTGGCCTGTGTCTGATCTCCTGCCACGGCCCCACGCCTGTCTCTCCTCCTGCAGACAGACAAGTCCCTGCAGGCGCGCAGTGCGAGGACGTGGGGAGAGAACAGGACGTGTGCCTGCCGCAGAGGAGCTAGGTCATTCTGGAAGGAGGAGTAATTGCCCACCACTTACTTGAAAAGCCTTTTTCTTCCCAAATTAGTGTGCTCTGTTGCCACCTTGTCTCCGTGGCCCCGTCGTTCCTCCCCATCCCCGTTACCGCTGAGGCTGGAGGTGATGGCTCTGAGAGACAGCGGAAATGAGCAGGCGAGGACCTGCTGAGCTGACAGTTCGCGCGAGGCGAGTCAGCTTACGCTTTTCTTTAGAATTATTGTGTGTGTGTTTTAAAGCCAAAGTCAGTCGTAATCTCATGCCATTTGTCATGTGGAAGCTTGTCCTCTAGAATCCTCACTGGACACATTTCCTGAGCAAAGCTTGATAAATAAAGTGTGGCCTGACACAAGCCTGGGTACCAGAGGTCCTCGCCCTGGAACCCGGGTCTTAAACTTGAATCCTGCGTCGCCTGGGGCAGGTCCCGTAGCATCCCCTCCCTGTGCCGCCGTAAGGTGAGCTCCGGAAGGACGGCTCGGGGAGCTGCGAGGATGGACTGGAGCTCCGGGTCACCAGCAAGAACGTGAGTTTGGTCTGGGGACTCCAGTTTCTGATACCGAAACGCCAGGAGACTCCGCTAGAAGAAGAGAGAAATCAGCGTAAATCCTCTCTCCACTGAATCACAGGTGGGAGACCTCCGGCAGGCACAGCGCGGCCTGGAAGAATGTGTGGGAACTCCTGGAGAGCGAGGGGGTGGCAGTCAGACAGACAGTTAGCGAGCCACGTGAGCATCTTGGTAAAGAAATGATTAAAATGGACCAACTAGCAGAGCAACTAGAAAAGAGACAAGTTTTTGTGGTGGACACCCTCAGCAAGGAACCTGAAGGAACCAAGTATTGGAAGGACATTGAACAGCAGCGTGAGGGACACAGGGCGGCTGGGGGCTGCGAGCACCTGCTCCGCGCCGCTCAGCACTCAGCCTGAACAGCTTCCAGTGTAGCCGACCTGCAGTGTCATACGCAAGGAGCACAGGGAGCCACAGGGAGCCTGGCTGAATTCACTGCCAGCGAAATAACGTGCTAGTATTGGAAGGTGCAGCAAAAAGACTCAGACCTACAGTTTTAGAGACTGAAAAAGCACAAAATAAATCTTCCAAAGTCGATTCCTTTGTCAAGGCTTTAGAAGCAGAGGAAATTACTACAGGGGTGAAGCTCAGTCTGAGGAAGATGATCGGAAGAAGACCTGAGAGTGAGGACGCCCATCTCCATCTTCCCAGGCACAAACTGATGTAGCGCTTTTGAAGACGAGACCGTGAAGACTTAAGTGCATGCTGGGAAAATAGCATCATTTGGCACAAATTCAGGGTAATGCCGAGATGTAATATCTCACCTCTGAGAGAGACAAGACCTTCCTTCGTTAGGATCAGGCACAGGAAGAAATGGCTCGACCTCAGCAAGCAATTACAGAAAGCCTAAGCCTCCTCTCTCACAGCGCATGCCATGTCCGGCGGGCGGAGCCTGGGAGGGACAGGGCCTCACTGCTCGCTAGGAAGGAGGGCCGCCTTAGCTCACCACCGCGTCTCCCCCTGGACCAAGACGGCGGCCGTAACCGGACTCGCCGGGCGGACTCAGACGGGCTCGGGCTGCCCCGGAGCACCCGCCTCGGGGCCCCACAGGAGCCGAGCGGCACTCGGGCATCTCAGAGCTCAGACTCCGCAGGAAGAGCTTTCCACACAGCCCCCAGCCCACCCCTGCTCAGGACTGATTGTAAAGGGACATGCACCTTCCGGCTGGTGCTGAGGCTGGCAAGGGAAGTGCATTCTTTCTGTTTGGAGGAGGGAGCAGAACAGACAAGAAAGCCCTAGTCTCTCCTTTCCCCCCCTCTTCCAGGTTCATCATGGGGGTGAGGGTGTTGCTTTAGCCTTTCCTCCAGACGGGTTAGTGCTGATGTTAAGTTAGTTAAGGTGTCTATCTGTAGGCTTAATTCCATTTCCCCTGAAAACCAAGGAAACAAAAAGGGCAGTGTTTTCATTTTTCCGGTAAAGCATTGTGACGACATGCGCTGCTGGCTTCTGGGCCACGGGACCTGAGAGCAGCATGCAGAGCGGAGAGTCCTGGCCGAGAGGCCGTGGGAAGATGTGGATGTTATGTAATTAGCACAGAATTCGAGTTCTCTTCTGGGTTGTAAGGTGGCAGGAGGGTTCCGTAGGCAGAGGGGAGGGCAGTGCAGAGCAGAGGCCCAGGAGAAGTCTGAGCATAGAACGGGGAGGAGATGGCAGTGCAGGGCCCGTGGGCCGGGCAGGAGTCCCGGTGGGAGGTGGAAAGGCCATGACCAGGGCCGGTCCGAGGTCCTCGGAGGCCTCGTTGCTTTCCTCTGTGGAAACGGGCGGTTCATGGTCAGCCGTTCCCATGTGGCGGGTGAGTGGCCCCGGCTGGCCCCAGGAGGGCAGGCAAGCTCTCCCGGCTGCTGTGCGGGGGACGCGGAGGCCGAAGTACTCACCTCCTAGCCCCTGCAGAAGGCCCTGCCCATCACACAGGTCACAAACAGGAGTCAGGAGGAGAAACGGCAGCCTTTGACCTTAACATGTTAAATGGGAGGGTCTCTAGCCGCCGTCACTGTGTGTCTGAGCATGCGGGATGGCCTCCATTCTTGCCCTCGTTGCCCCATGTAACAGGCTTATCCTCAGGTGACCGTTCCTAATTTAAATCTGTTTTGACTGGCAAATCACACAGTGCTAATTACTGTGCATCTCCCATCCCTCATAGCAAAACCTTAGAAGATCGGCTGAAACTGGAAGCAAAGAACGGGACGTTGAGTGTGTCCGACACCACGGTGGGCAGCAAGCAGCTGACATTCACGCTGAAGAGGGTGAGTCGTTTGCTGGTGTCACTTCTTGACCCACGGGCACCTGCGGCAGAGTGCGTGGGGGCCCGGGCCTGCCTCCCGAGCACAGGCAGAGCCAGGCAGTTGCCTAGGGTCCTAGTGACCGGGTGGGCACTGCTGGTTTCTGGGCCTCGGGACCCGAGGGCAGCGTGCGGAGCAGAGAAGGCCTGGCCCCCAGGCCGTGGGGAAGGGAGCGGGGAAGCTTCTGTGGCTTTCAGGACCGAGGAGGGCGAGGACCCGTGGTGGCAGCGCCGCGCAGCTGCCAGGAGTGAAGTTCAGAGGGGACGCGTGCCTGGGTCCTGTCCGCACGGTTCGTGAGAGCCCGTCTTCAGGGTCACACGTGAGGCGGGCACACGTCAGGAGGAGCGGGCTTCCATGTAGGCTGTTAACTAACGAGTGAAACTAGGTGTCTTAGTTTTCCAAACATTTTTCTCATTCAGTAGATTTCCCTTAATATATCTTGTTATCAAGTGGGAAAGGATGTCAAAGATTCTACCTCTGATTTTTAAAAATTGAGATGTCGTTCAGAATCCTTAAAATTCACCCTTTTACAGTAACCAGGTCAGGGTTTACACTGTGTGATCATCAGCATTACCCGATTCCAGCTCATCCTCGTCACCCCAGAAGGAAACGCAGGGTGCCCGTGTCCCCGGCCCTGGGCAGCCACCGCGCTCTCCTGTCTGTGGGTCTGTCTGCTCGGACATCTCCTGTGAGTGGAGTCACCCGGAGCCTCCTCCGGCGCCGGCGGCTCTCGCCGCTCCTTCGGGGCCACGTGGCGGCTGGCGCGGAACGCCGCTCCTTTAGGGCTGGGTCGTTCCTGGCTGTGAGGAATGACGCTGCCCTGGGACCTGGGTAGAAGGTGTGTGCGGACTGTGTGGTCGTTGGCCTGGGGGTGTGCCTAGGGGAGGAGTTGTGACTAAGAACTTTCCGAGGAGCTGCCGGCTGTTCTCCAAGGCGCCGGCCCGTCGGCACACCTGGCAGCCGTGCGCAGAGGGCCAGGTCTCCTCGCCTCGCTGCACGTGTGTGGTCGTCTTTTCCATAGCCGTCATGTCTGTGGTCTGCTAATGTGCGTCTCCCGTGGCTGTCAGCGTGGAGCATCGTGTATGTCTGACTGGCCAGCTGTGTGTTTTCTTTGGAGAAATGTCTGTTCAGATCCTCTCCCGCTGGCCTCCGGTCCTTTGAGGCTCTCGGGTGGCATCAGCCTTGCCATATGATAGGAACTTTTTAGTTAGCGTTCATCATCTCACACTGCGAAGGTGAGCTTCGTTGTGGCGGGTCACACTCACGGTAGGGACCGGAGCCTGGGTGTCTGAAGACGGGGTGAGTGAGCCGTGGTCCGGCCTGTGGACGGAAGAGCAGTCGGCGGCCTCTGCGCGGTGCGGCTCCTGGAGGTGCCTCTTCCCAGGGCCGTCCCTTTGGGGCGGCCGGCAGCGCTGTGCGGGTGCAACGCCAGGCCGTGCCTTGTCGCTCGGGGCTCTGTCAGCGCCTGCCCCGCCCCAAGATGGAGACCAGGGGCTGTGGGCCTTCTCTCTCTCTCTCTCTCTCTCTCATGTGGTTTTCTCCTGCAGTCGGAGCAGCAGCAGCAGCAGCAGGCGGCCGAGGAGATGCACCGGCAGGAGAGGAAGGCGCTGCGCCGCCCCGCCGGCCACCTCAAGTCCCGGCGCAAGCGAGGACGGCCCTTCCCCTGAGCCCTGAGGCCCGCACCGGACTCAGCAGCTTCGCCCGCTGGCCATCGGGAGCCGGTGTCCGCTCCCGCCTCCACGGCCAAGACTGGCAACGTGTCCCCGCCGTGTGGGCCAGAGCGGTGCCTCCCCCGTCAATCATGCCAATCAGTGGACCGGGGGATGTCTCACCGGTGAAATGGGAGCCAGGCCCCCCTCTCCCAGCCGACCCCCCAGAAGCATGCGTGCCTCAGCTCCTGTGCAGCCTCGGTCGTGTGTGTGTGTGTGTGTGTGTGTGTGTGTGTGTGCTGGTAGGTGTGCTGCTGGTCTATATATCAGTTTGGGATTTTAAAAAACATTTTTATACCAAGAGAATATAAAATAATGTAATAACCTAAAACAAGAAATAGAAGCTTACGTGTGTTCTTTTATACTCAGTTCAAGCTTACATTCAGACTTTTTTATGTTTCTCCCCCGCACAGCGAGAAATGGCTGGAGAACACATTTATAACAATAAACACTGTGTATGAGCGGCTTCTTCAAACAGATCCTTTCCGTGAGCTCACCTGAGCATTGACGGTGGTTCCTGTTTCTCGGGTGTTGGTGTGACTCCGTGCCCCTGGAGAGGCAGCGGGTGGGTGGTGACAGAATCCGACTGGGAGGCTGGAGCCTGTTCACTGGCTAACCGGCTGCGAAGCTGCAGCTGCCTCGGCCCAGGGCCCAGGTCCCCATTCCTCCGTCTCTGCGCTCTCGGCTGCCCCTCTCCAGTCCTGTCTCTGCTCTTCGTGCGGACCAGCTGGCTCCCACTTCCAATCTGTGGTCTGAAATGTAGATTTTTCCCCACAAAGCGTATGTCAGTGTCTGTGCAGGTATGAGGGTGTGTGTGTATACGTGTGTGCGCGCGCGTGCGAAGGCGGTACCAGAAAGACCTTTATCCCCAGCTTGGCACCCCCAGTCGGGGTGCCCGCGGCCTCTGCCCACTCAGCCTTGCGCTGGCTGCTTTCCTCCTTCAGCTTCTTGTCCCGCCTCCCCTCGCCCCCCACGCACCTCCTCTCCCAAAGCGCCCGGCCGCCCTGGCTTCCTCAGGCTGAGGCTCAGGCTTCCCGGGCCCAGTGCTCTGGGCCTTCCCTGGGCTCAGCCCTTCCGCTCCTGTGCCCGCTCCCAGGCCCCTCTCCCTTCTGGGGCACCCCGGAGGGGCCCAGCAGCGGAGTGCAGGCTGCAGAGGGGTTCAGTCTGGGCCTCAGCACCACCAGGTCCCGGGGGGCCATCCACCTGGGTCCTGGGGTGCTGGCAGCCAGCAGCCTGGCCAGGGGAGGCCGGTGGCCTCCCCCGTGTGTGAACTCTGCCTGTTTATTTGCCTTAAGTCTCACTTCCTCCCACGAGATGAGCCCAACACTGCTTCGGCGAGGGCGGACTGAGGCTGCACCTGAGGGAGCAGCTGGCACAGGCGGAGGCTCACGGGAGTGAGACATGGCGTCTCAGCAGCCCCTGCCCCGCACGCCCCTCCGCTCACCTGTCCTTCTGTTGGGGGGACTCCCAAAAGGGCAGCGCAGGGCCTGCTGGGGTCCCTCCGCCCGCTGTCCCTGCGGGGAGGTGGGACGCTCAGCCTCCTGCGAAGTAAAAGGTTCAGGCTCTGGACCTCACTTCCTGTGTTTGCTGTAGGCTGCGTGCTCCCCCTGGGACACCCCGTTTGCCCGGGCCCCAGGCTGGGTCAGGAGGGCCCTGGGACAGCGGCACTGAGAAGAGGCTGGGAGGCAGGAAGGACGTCGGCTGGGATGCCCGGGGGAGGAACATTCTGGTCAGAGAGGCCCAGAGGCTGTGAGCCCCGGACGCAGTGGCTCGGAGGTGGGGCCAGAACTGTGTCCTCACAGCCGCCTCTGCTCACCTGGGCCCGCTCTGAGGACCACGGGGCCAGCGCAGGGCCTGGGCGGGTTTGCCTGGGTGTTCCAGGAGCAGCCTGTTGGCCCCGGGGCCGGCAGGGAGGGTCAGACTGGTGGTGGAGGCGGGGCAGGTTGGTGCCAGCCGGTTCCCGCGCGGCCCCGCCACTCCGGGAGCATCGGGTTGGAACTCCCCGGGGACGCCAAGGCCCGTGGGTGTGGGCTCTGCAGGCGGAGTCCACGGCGAGTGGCAGGTCCCACCCTCGGGACCTCCGGCACTGCCTCTTCCCTGGGGAACCCGGCAGCGTCCGGGCCTGGCGGCCCTGTCTGCAGACAGGCGACTGCAGTCTGGAGCCCAGACCACACCCCCAGACCAGCAGGCTTTCGGGGTGCGGGTTTTCAGAACCAGAACGGTCTCCTGAGTGGAGACAGAGGAAGGAAAAGGGCAGGCCTGGCCTGGCCCAGACTTGCTCGCAGCTGAGCTGCTGCCAGTGGCCAGGCCATTTAACCCATCCGTGCCTCGGTGTCTCCACCTGTAAAATGGGTTTAATAACCTCTGTTCCCTAAAGACTTCAGAGGGTGGTTAGAGAGCTAATGAGTGAGGTGCATTGAACTCCTCAGAAGAAAGTGTAACGAAGTATGAAGCACTATTGTAATTAGCTCTCGGGGTCTTTAAACCAGGTTGCATCTTGTTTTAATGGAGTTACCATGACAACAGGTTTATTTGAAAAACATGTAGAAGGGCGTGACTATAAGTCTCAATAATCAGTAAATGTTTTTGCAGCTTTCTGTGGTAATTAAGAGCCTTTACCAGTAACCCTGCACCGTCAGCCGTGGGTCCCAGTGACATAAGGTCCCGCAGCGGCCTCAGGCACCCACAGGGAGGGGGTCTTGGGACGCATCCCCTGTGGAGAGGGGCCTTTTATATGGACGCGGTTACATCAGAACCATAGGAGAGAGCCTTCCTGTAAGGGATCGGCCCCAGGTCCCGGGAGGTGCAGGCAGCAGGCTGGAGCCGGAGCCCGTGGCAGTTCCAGGCGCAGGCTCCGGACACGCAGAGCCGAGGCCAGTCCTGGGCCTTCCTGCCCCCGCCGCCGTGGGGAAACGTGGCTCTCCCCACTCAGACCACACCAGCCACGGGGTTCAGCTCGTGTTACTTTCTGACTCGGCCGTTGGGTTCACAGGCCATCGTCCTCTGAACCCTTGACCCTCAAATGAACCCCTCCCGGCCCACAGGTCCCAGGAGACCGCTGGGTCGGCCACAAAGCCCGTCCCAACCAACGCAGACGGGGAGGGGGACAGAGTGCCCCGTGGGGCTGCCCTGGGGCCTGGCTTCTGGGACACGGGACAAGGTGAGGAACCGGCCTGGTTCTCATGGGCCGAGAGTGGCCTACGTCTTGGTGAGCTTGATCAGATAAGTGATGGAGTTCCATGTGTGTGCGTAACCATGACAGCATCCTGGTCTGGGGCCGCACTCCCCACCTGAGCCCCAGGCATCATGGGCGCAGGCAAACCTGGACCCGGAGCTGTCACATTCTTCACCCTTATCTGTTTATCTTACGAGGTCAGCGGGAGAGAGACGCCAGTGAAGAGAGAATCACGGATCCGCTGCCTCCTGCACGCCCCAAACCCGGGCATGTGTCCTGACCGGGAATCGAACCCTGACCTCCTGGTTCATAGGTCAACACTCAACCACTGAGCCACGCCGGCCAGGCTCTACTCGTTTTTAATTGTTGGAGGGCACACTACAAAGCTTCTGGGAGCCCCACCGCTCCCTGCCCCCACTGTCCTCCCTGCCCCCACTGGCCTCCCTGCCCCCACTGTCCCCCTGCCCCCACTGTCGTCCCTGCCCCGAACTGTCCCCCCTGCCCCCACTGTCCCCCCTGCCCCCACTGTCCCCCCTGCCCCTGGCTGTCTTCCCTGCCCCCGGCCGTCCCCCTGCCCCCACTGTCCCCCCACCCTGGCCGTCCCCCTGCCCCCGGCCGTCCCCCTGCCCCCACTGTCCTCCCCACCCTGGCCGTCCCCCTGCCCCCACTGTCCCCCCACCCTGGCCGTCCCCCTGCCCCCGGCTGTCCCCCTGCTCCCACTGTCCCCCCACCCTGGCCGTCCCCCTGCCCCCGGCCGTCCCCCTGCTCCCACTGTCCCCCCCACCCTGGCTGTCCCCCTGCCCCCGGCTGTCCCCCTGCCCCTGGCCATCCTCCCTGCCCCCGGCTGTCCCCCTGCCCCCACTGTCCTCCCTGCCCCCAGCCATCCTCCCCGCCCCTGGCCGTCCCCCTGCCCCCGGCCGTCCCCCTGCCTCGGGCCGTCCCCCTGCCCCCACTGTCCCCCCCACCCTGGCCGTCCCCCTGCCCCCGGCTGTCCCCCTGCCCCTGGCTGTCCTCCCTGCCCCCAACCGTCCCCCTGCCCCCACTGTCCTCCCTGCCCCGAACTGTCCCCCCTGCCCCCACTGTCCTCCTGCCCCCACTGTCCTCCCCAGCCTGGCTGTCCCCCCTGCCCCCAATGTCCCCCCTGCCCCTGGCCATCCTCCCCACCTCCGGCCGTCCTCCCTGCCCCCACTGTCCTCCCTGCCCCCACTGTCCCCCCTGCCCCTGGCCGTCCTCCCCGCCCCCGGCCGTCCCCCCTGCCCCCGGCCATCCCCCTGCCCCCACTGCTCCCTGCCCCCACTGTCCCCCCTGCCCCTGGCCATCCTCCCCGCCCCCGGCTATCCCCCTGCCCCCAGCCGTCCCCCCTGCCCCCGGCTGTCCCCCTGCCCCCAGCCGTCCCCCCTGCCCCTGGCCGTCCTCCCCGCCCCTGGCTGTCCTCCCCGCCCCTGGCTGTCCTCCCCGCCCCCGGCCGTCCCCCCTGCCCCCGGCCATACCCCTGCCCCCACTGCTCCCTGCCCCCACTGTCCCCCCTACCCCCGGCCGTCCCCCCTGCCCCTGGCCGTCCCCCCTGCCCCCACTGTCCTCCCCACCCCGGCCGTCCCCCCCGCCCCCGGCCTTCCCCCTGCCCCCCTGTCCTCCCCACCCCGGCCGTCCTCCCTGCCCCGGCCACCCTCCACGAGCCAGAGATCCTGCTAAGATGCTTGAGGTGGGGAGCCCAGGGAGGTGACCAGGCCCCGAGAAGCCTCCTCCGTCCCTTCCCCTCGACGTGTGTGTGAAGGACCCTGTG